TGCGTCCCCCAGGGTGGGCAGGGCGGAGCCCCTCGCTGTCCCCCACTCCTCCGCGGCTCCGTTGTCCCCCGTGCCCCTGCGCTGGTGGCAGCACCTTCCCTCACCTCGTCCCCAGTCCCCCGCTGCCCCTCACCCTAAGGAGTTATGAGCCCGAATTAATTACCTGAGCCACGGTGAGCTTTGGAAGGCCTCAATTGGTCAGGCAGAGACCGTTGCTGCTTTTCAAGCCCATTTATTTATTTATGTGGTGCCAGGTGGCTCTGGGAGGGGGTGCTACACAGCGGGGAAGGGGCGTCACAGCTCCCGTGGCAATCACAGCTTGCCCAGTGCTTGCCAGCCAGGTCGAGTGAGAGTAGAGGACCAGCCCCGCACTGGGTGTCAGGCCTCAGGTACACCTCACCCACGATCTTGTAGGGCAAGTTATTCCAGCCGAGGATGGGGGCTTTGTAGTTTGCCTGTGACCTCGATACCCAAGAACCCGAGGGCACTGACCCATGGAGCTGCTTGGCAATCTGGCAAGGGGCCTGGGGACACTTTGCCTGCCTGGGAGCCTGCAGACCCACTGGGAGGGAGCCGAGGCAGGTGGCTGTGCAGGGGGACAGGCATGGAGCATGTGTCCCCTGTCCCCAAGGCCAAGCCCCAGTCTGCCTGTCCCTAATTGCTTCTGCATGTTGTGTGTGGTTGGGAAATGCTGAAGCCAGTGGATCCGCATCCTGCCACATGGGAGCTGGCTGCAGGCAGCTTGGGGGGTGTGGGGAAGACCAAGGGTTCCCAGGCACTAGGGACGTGCTGGTGGTGGGTGCTGGCACTCAGGGAGACCCTGCCAGGCTGACTGCCAGCTCCAGCTCAGCCCCATACCAACCAGAGATCCATGGCTGAGAGACACAGATGGCACCTTCTTAGCAGGTTGTAGAGGTGAAGAGGTGATGGGGACAGGGAGGGGAGAGCAGGGGCAGAGGCTGAGGCCTGGGTGGCTCTCATGGCCTTAGTGTCTCTTGGAGCCAAGGCTTCACCACCACATCACCCTTCACTTCATAGCTCAGGCTGTTCCAGGCCAGGATGGCGGGCGGCAGGCGTAGGGACTGGTAGGCAGCTCGCATCTTGTTCGGGGACAGCCCCACATCCCACAGGTAGACATCGGCCAGCTCGCCTGAGAAGGAGTTGTAGACATCAAAGCTGCCCCCAAAGGCATCCTGCTCCTGCCCCAGCAGGATGGCTGCCTCTGCCCCCACTGTGTAGCCTCTCTGCAGTCCCTTGCGGGGCCAGGGCTTCCCATTGAGCCAAAACTCGGCGATGCCCGTGGCTGACTCCCAGCTGGCACAGACGTGCTCCCAGCCCCCGCGGCCCTCGGGGACACGGAAGGTGACAAACTTGCCCCCCACATAGAACCGATACTCGGCAGGCTTGGGCTTGAACAGAAGGATTTCATTGTCCTGTGCCTTGGTGGCGTAGGAGAAGAGGCTGTAGGGCCGGATCAGCTCAGTATAGGACCGCAGGCACACGGTGAAGTTCTGCAGCGGCTGCTCGAGCTTGGCCCTCAGCACCACGTAGGCATCGCTGGGGTCCTTCCGGAAGACAAACACTTTTCGGTACAGGTCTGGGGGATGTGAAAAGGGGCATGGTGGGAGGTTGGGGTGTCGTGCAGCCCTCTGCCTCTGGGCCTTCCTCTATTCCCTTTGGGTGACATTGTGTCCCTGATGTCCCTTCTACTGACCCTTCTACTTTGCTCTAGCATCCCCCAGCCCTGCTGACTGGGCTCTGGAATGAAGCAAAGGGCTCCAAGAACTGCTGCCATTTCCCCCCAGCCCTGCCCAGCCCCATGCCAGCTCCTGTCCCCTAGTGCTGTCCTTACCTTCCTGAGCCGTCATGCTGGAGAGCCCAGCCAGGACAGCAAGCCAGACCTGCAGCTGGCCCATGGTCCTGGGTGCTGCAGTTGGTGCCAGAAGAGAAGCCATCTTGGTGCAGGGCTGCTGCCTACAGGTTTATGGGCTGGAGAGTGGGAGGGGATCTGTGTGCCCCCCAATCCCATCCCCAGCAGCCCAGCATGGCCTGCGAGGAGTGATTTCATGCTGTCATGCGACTGTGCCACAAGACCCTGAGTCACCCGCCTGCACGGGGCTCCCCTTGGAGCTGTGCCCCTTGCGCGTGCCCATATGGGCAATGGTGGCACCCAGCCATGCTGTATCACCATGGTCTCTCATCTCAGTCTGTGGGGCAGAACCCCTGTGGGAGTGACTTTGTTCCACCCTCATCCAAGATGCACATGGGAAGTTGCCCCCAGGCCCCCCCCAGACCCATGACTCTGGTGCATGTTCCTCGGCTCTGCTTGCTGTCCCAGCCAAAGGGACTGAGCTCAGAGCCATGGGCAGCAGCTGGCAGAAGAAACCACATAAAAGTTGAACAGCTAAGGGTCCGGCAGCCTCGGAGAGTGGGGGCCCACGTGTGGAGTCCTGTGCCCCCTGCCCAGGTGCATTCTGGTCAGGATGGGGGGAAATTTTGGCTGCTCCAGCCTCTGTAATAGTGGTGCTGGGCAGGCTGGTGGGCAGGAGTCTGGGCTGGGAATGTGGGGCCATTGCAGGAGTACCCTTGAGGAATGGGGTGGCAGGGTAACAGTGGGATTTTCTCAGCCACAGGTGGTTGCTCCTTTTTTGGGGACAATGTGGGCTTGTTCCCCACTGAGTCAGCCCCTCAGTTTAGCAGGGATGAGTCTCCCAGTCCTGCCGGGCTTGGCTCAGCCAGGGCAGCTCCTCACTTGCAGCTGTGCTGGGCCCTGGACCCCGTGGTAGGGCAAATCCCAGCCACAGGCCCACACCCCTCCACCACCCCCCCAGCTCCCCATCCAGACCCATGTGCCTTGTGACTGCACGTGGCCATCCCTTCTGGGAAGGGAGGAACCCTGCTCAGATGCCTCCAGTGCTGGATATAATCACCTCACTTCCCTCTAATAGTCCACAGAGCTTCATTGTGAACCTCTCCTACTAATTTGGAGGCGTGAGGAGCACATGCCTCCTACTTCCCATCCCTCCACCCACAGGAGCCTGGCTGGTGGTAAGGGATATCACCCCCTGCACCCTCCAGCCCCCCAAGATTAATCACACTTGGTGAGTGACTCTGACAAACATATATATTGTGTATAATTCCCACTGGTTGATCTCTGCCGTATTGCATACCTTGGCTTGTTAGGAGGGAGAGAAAAATCCTTTGTTGCTTCAATTTGTCACTGCCCTGTCTGCCTTCTGAAATCTCCCCATGGAGTTGGGGGGGGCTGGGGCCGAGTGTCAGGTGTCCCTGCATGTGTGCAGGAGCCAAGGGAAGACGTTTGAGGCACCCCAAAGCTATCTCCAGTGAGCAAATCAGGGTGTCTAGCCCAAAACGGTGAGTAAGGGGACAGAGGGAGGAAAGGCACCAAGCCTGGTGGCAGTGTTGCCTGTGGGGCAGAAGTTGTGGGCTTGGTGGAGACACTAAGGGGAGAGGGGACAGTGCTGGGCACCAGCAGCCAGCATGGGGCCATCAGCTGCAGTGCCAAAACTCAGCAGTTGCCACTGATGCTAGCCTGGCGGTGACAGAGGCGGACGGCAAGCAGTGCCGTAGGCCCCAGGCAGCAGTGCAGCACCCCCAGCCCCTCGCTCAGCCCCAGCATATAGTCAAAGTGCTCAAAGGTGCCACAGGTGGGCTGCAGCAGCCGGGCATGCAGAAGGAAATCCACAACCAGCCCCACCCCATAAGGCATCCAGAGCGCAAAGAAAAGCCAGCTTGCACCAGTGCCTGGCTCCCAGCCCACCCTCAGCTGCGGCACAGCTAGTGTGGCCAGCAGCAGCACCACTGGCAGCAGCACGAAGAGGCAGACACAGAGGGCCAGGTGCAGCAGGTATGCTGGGGAGAGGATATCCACACTCCGGCGGATGCAGCTTGTCTCTGGGGCTGCAACTGTGCCACTGGCAAGAGCTGCTGGCATTGCCAGAAGCAGCGCTCCAGCCCACAGGGCCACAGCCAGGCGCTGGTTCCGAGGGTCCCAGCGGCACCAGGCAGTGCTGCAGAAGCTGCTGCCCACCAGCAGCCCCTGTGCAAAGAGGCTCCAGTGCCACAGCAAGTGGGTGAGCTTGCACAGCCCTGCGCCCAGCTGCCAACCCTGCTTGATGCCCACTGCCACCAGGGGCAGCAAGGCAGCAAAGACACCTGTCCCCACTGCCAGCTGGGCCACCAGCACTCGGCTCTGGGGCCAACCCCACACGCGAGGCCACTTGGTCAGTGCCACCAGCAGTGCCCCAGCACCCAGGGCAGCCATGGCACAGGTGACAGCCAGGAAGGGGGGGGCAACGTGCTGGAAGAAGAGACAGTACTGGTTGTGGCAGGGCGCAGCATCGTAGTCTGGGAAGGTCTCATTGCCATCATCATAGGAGAGGTTGCCCATGATCTCCATCAGGTCCAGGGAGTTTTTACTCTCCACGAGGCTGGGGCTCTGTGAAAGAGACCAGTGGGCATCAGGCAGGGACATGTTCAACCAACCACAGGTGCCCACATCTCACAGCATTACTCCAAACATCCCTACCAATGAGCGACTGCTCCCCAGCATGGAGCTGCTGCTCTGCTGGTGCCAGGGGAATCCATGTACAGCTGTGGTGCAGGTCAAGCTGGGCAATTTATCAGGGAGGGACATGCTACTGGGAGAGGGGAAGGCTGTCTGCGGCTGATACCTCACGGGGGTGGGATTGTCCTGCACTGGCCCCACTATGCATGGGCACCCAAATTTTCTTAGAGCCTCAAAGCAGGATTGAAAAACCCCACAGTAGGTGAGTGTGAACTTCACCAAGTCCTTTGCAAGCAAGTGCTTGCTGGCAGTGCCCACTGCAAGCTGTGAGCCTGCTCACCACCATGCACCCCTGTGGCCCCAGCCCTCATGTCCAGCAGGATGGGAAATGGCTGAGGTGTGTAGCAGATGATGGGGAGGCACTCACCACCGGAATGCAGTTGCCCATGATGAATGTCCCAAGATGGTACCTTCTCTCTCTGTTGGGGTCTCCAGTGGGTGCAGTGCGTGGCAACGAGTCCTCAGCTGTGCATGCTCACAGTGCTGTGAGCACTGTGCTGTGCCCAGAGGGCACGGTCAGGGGATCACTCAGGGGCACACACTGCACAGAACTCTCTTCACGAGCTGGACTGCAAGGCTGTGTCTTGCTTTGCTCACTAGCCCTCGGGCTCCACTCCTCCCGCTTGCAAGGGAGGTGAAGGACTGCGGTAAGGAGATAAGAGCTGCCTCTTTAACAGCACTCCTGGTCTGGCAATCCTCTGTGCCAGGGCCTGAAGGAAACAGGCGGGCCACTGCTGCCGGTAAAACTGGTGAGCTGACAGCACAAGCCTGCAATTTCTTGAGCAGGAAATAATCACTTCTTGGCAGAACACTTCAAATTAATTAGGAATCATATTTACAGGCACCCCAGCTGTATCAATGCTCCTGTTGCTGGCATAGAATTAGGCACATACAAAATTTCTTCCTAGGGATGCTGTGTGCAAAACCTGGTTTTGGGGCACAGGGTGGACATTCCAGATGCAGGCGGCCGTCAACAAGGACCCCACAACACAGCCTAGGCACATGGTGCTTCCCAGCTCTCAAACAGCAAGGAAATGCACAGCCCTTCCTCGGGATGCCCTGCCAGTGGAGCCGGATCCTGTGGGGTCATCCTGCTATGCTAGGGTTGAGTCATGGGCTCCCCGGGCTGCAGCAGGCAGCAAGCCCAGCTCAGGGGTGCACCAGTGGAGGCCAGGGGCACTCGGTGGCCTTTATGCCTAGTGGAAACATGCCTGAAGGGCAGTGGGGGCTCTGGGTAACTGTGATTTAGGTGGGGCTGATAATTCAGGGGGAGTTGAGGGTTAGGGGCTGGTTACCTGCAGTGGGGGTCTGATGATATTTGAGGACTAACAAGGTTGGGGGTCTGTGCAGTAGACCTTGGGATGGGTGGCTGATGAAGACTCTGGTTTTTGGGGGCTGAGTGGGGTTTGGGACTGCTGTGGTTTGGGGGCTGAGCTGTATCCCCATGGGCCATGTGATGGGCTCACCCATGTCCCTCCCAGGCTGTGCTCCAGGGTGAGATGTGTCCTACCAGCCTGAGCTCTGCCCCCTCCCTTGGCCCCAGGGTGGGGTGTCAATACCCCTCCTGGGCCCTGGCAGCATCCAGTGCACATGGGCAGAAGCAGAGACACACAGGCAGGTAATGTGTGTAATCCAGATATATTTATAGGATTATTTTCCGAGATTAGCACAGGATATTAGAAAGGTTATAAAGTCACATCAACATTCGTTGTCTCCCTTTTATGTACATACAAGAACACAGCACAACACAGACCATCCTCTGCCCTGCCCCACTGTTGCCCCTCGGCATCTCCAGAGCTCCCTACAAATATGGCTTTCGTGTCTATTGAGAGTTCAGTGCCGCTGGGAAGCGGCCAGAGCCTTGTCAGGGCTGGCAAGTGGACAGGCCTGGCCATAAACGGGCCACAGAGTTCTGAAATCTCCCCATTGCCCCTGTGCTGGCCCTAGCAGTGTCCCAGTTCAGGTGTTCTGGGCCTAGTATGGGTGACTCTGGTGGCACAGGGTGGATGCAAGACTGGAGGTCCCCTGCCCACATGGCCAATAAGGCCCCCCCAACAGTCCTGAGGAAGTGGCTAGTGCCCTAGGCTCTCCCAGCCACAGAACAGTGCCCAGCTTTGCTGGTGCCAGCAGGGAGGGACACGAGCCTGGTGTCCTCTCTTCCGTGATAGTGTGTCCCTCAGGTCACCCCCACACTAGCATAAAAATGTAGCTTCTCACCCCTTCACACAACCCAGATCACCCTTTGTCCTTACGACATGGTGTACCCAACCTTCCTCAACAGTCCTGACCCAGCACAGGGCAGCACTAGGCACAGCAGTGTGCACTCATCACCCCAACACATGTGGTGCCACTCACAACCAACATCTACTCCTGGCTGTGTACCTGTTCCTCTTCATACCCATAACACGGACTCACAAAGTCATTTCTCCATCATGTTCATGACATGGTGTGTCCCATCACACTTCCCCTGGGCAGTACAGGTGCACTATCATTGCACTCTCCTACACCTTGACATGCCCTGTTGCAGCCTCATGACAGTGTCTCCATCACCCTCGTGCTCATTCTGCAGCATTTCCCTCTTCATACAGGTGACCTGGTATATGCCATCTCTCACACAAGACATGGGGTCTACATCCCCCTTGCATCTACCAAAGCCTTTTGGCTTGCCAACACAGCCTCATGGCTAAGCTCCCACCCCTTCCAGGACCTGTGGTGCCTGGGGTCATAGCTCAGCCTCTAGTGGTGGCTGTAGCAGGACAACAGGTCCACCTGGGGGTGAGACTTGGCCCATCCTTTGCTGATGTCTGCCACAGGCAGCAGGCCCTGTCCCAGTGCCTTGCCCATGCCCTATCCACCACTTCCAATACCATGCAGCATCTCAAAAAAGCCAAATCCTGACTTCCCTCACCAGGGTAAAGTGGTGACCACTGGCACCAGCCCAAAAAGCAGCTCTGGAGCAGCGGTGTTAGGGAGTAAGTGGCAATGGCCACTGCCTCAGAGGCACACAAACCTCCCTGACCTCTATTTTTTTCTTTCCCTAGGGACCAGTTAACCCCCAATCCTTCCCAGACGCCCAGGTTGGGGCTTTCTCTGTAATCATCTACAGCATGTAGACTTACAATGACATTACATTGTACTTGAAAACTTGTCCTTGCATTTTTATTTGAAAGAATTACATCTATTCACTAGTAGATGTTAGAGATCTTCAGCAAAGCATCAGGTCACACATTCACATGTGCTCAGTGTGCAGTGGAGTAGTTAACAGCATCAATATCTGCAGTACCTCTGGCAGCAACAGCTGCATCCCTCAAAATAATCTCAGAGCTACTTCTGGGACTCCAGCCAACAGCATCAGGTCACACATTCACATGTGCTCAGTGTGCAGTGGAGTAGTTAACAGCATCAATATCTGCAGTATTACCTCTGGCAGCAACAGCTGCATCCCTCAAAATAATCTCAGAGCTACTTCTGGGACTTCAAGCCAACATCCTCCTCCAAAGAGATGGGATGGGAAGAACAACCACAGGTCTTTGCCATGTACAACAAAGGCTTCATGCACTTCTCTCTCCAGGTGCTAACACCCTTCTGCCCACACGCTCCTGACATGATATAGCCATGAGCAACCTAGTCATGTTTGTGCACGTGCCACAAATGCATCACTCATTCACATCCTGTGCCTACCACTGAACCACGCCTCTCCTTCCTTGTCTGCTTGGCCTCAGCCCCCTTCCAGCATTCTTCCTTGTGCCATGTGCTCGCAGGGTCTGAATGGGAGTGACACTACCTGCCCCACAGGCACCTGGTGCCCCACAGCAGAAAACATAAGCTCTCACCTCCAAGGGCTCTCCTCCTACAACCCAAAATTTAAGGGGTGCTCAGCCAAAGGGTGGCTGCTGCAAACCCTTTGTGTCCAGATCAAGAGTCTGGGATGCTGGAAAACCTCATTGCAAGAGCAAGGGATGGGGCCTGGCTCACTGGGGGGCATGGGGTGTCCTGCAGATGCTGGCATGTGTAGTCCCCTACAGCCCCATCCTATGGGTGGGGTTGGGGTGGGCCATGTGAACCCTGGGAACATGTCAGAGAGCTTGGGAAATCTTCTTGGTTTTGTCTTGGAAGAGACAGTGGAACAGGTAGGAGGTAGGGTAAGTTCCTGCAAGCCACCTTGGAGACCCTCAAACTACCAAGACATTAAACCCAGCCACATCGGCCATGGTTGGCTGCAGCCCTTGGAGCCAAGAAAGAAACAGCCTGCTCCAAGCTCACACCTGCCCTGGTAAACTGCCGAGAGGGTAGGGGGACAGACAGTTCCAAGAAGCAAACCCTGGTGGAGCCCCTCTCTGCACATCTGCTCGGCCAGAGGAATCCCAGGTCTCATGCTGGTCTGCAGTGCTTGTGCTGGGGAAGCAGGCCATCTCCAGCTCACCTCATGTGGTGCCACAAGCTATGTCAGCTCTGGTTTAAGTCTCAGGCTCTAAACTATCTTTCCAGAGGCCCAACAGGCCACAGAGACAGCCTGGTGAGAAGGGAAGTGGTAATAGCTGCAGAACCACCAGGTCTCCTGGTTCTGCCCTGCACTCCCAGCACAGGTAGCTTCCTGCACTGAACATCTCAATAGATGGTTTTGACATTTCCAATCTAAGGATTTGTAAAGTTGGGATTTTTTTCTCTGGATTCACCCCCAGGCCTCTGCTCTCCCCCCTGCCGCTGGGGGGGGGACCAGGGAGCTGCAGTGCCTTGCAGCTCCCAGTCTCTCTGGGGGCTCCAGCGGTTCCCACCCTGGAAGCTCACCCCCTCTTTCACATCTACCACACGAGGACAGCTTTCCTCCCAAATGGACACTGTTCGACAAGAACCACCAAGGATAAAATCATGGCAGGGGCCTGAGGTCCCTCCCTGCTCAACCCCAGCCATGTGCCAAGACCTTAGGACACTGCCTATCAGCATCCCCACTCCTGTCTGCTGGCCACACTCCCTGTCGCAGCTGCTGAGGCTGTGGGGGAGCAATGGGATCACTGTTCCTGGCACTCAATGGGAGGCACAGGGGAGCATTCATGACAGAGGGGCCACACAGCTGCCCCAAGCTTGCACCAGCACCTGGAGCTGATTTTATCCTTGGATGTCAAAGAAACCAAAATGGTGAGAAACAAAGGAAATAGCTACATTGACCCCAGCCCAACATCCCAACCAAGGGCCCAAAGCAAAGAGCAGCCACAAAACCAAAGCAAAGGTCCAAACGAAGAAGGAAAGTCGCTCACTCACTAGTTGGTCTGTGTTTTGTGCGAGCGCCAGTTGCAGGGATGGAGGTGCAAGCAAGCAAACAGGGCCAGGGCTTTCGCTGTTCATAGTAATAACGTTCTGTACAAGTTCAAGAAGAAGCATTATGTCTCAGGCTGGTCACTCTCTGCTCTCTGTCCTGCCATCCCTCTGTCCGTCTGCCTGCCCGTCCCAGGCGCGAGAGAAAAATCTGTTGGGTTGAGTGGGGTTTGTGGTCTGGTTTCCATTTCCATCGGGGTCTGTTGGCTCCATTTCTCACTCTCTCTGACACCCCTAGATGAAATACTCCTTCTTGTCATCACCGCCAGTTTGGCCTCCCTCTGCATTGATGATGGCAGTGTCAGCATCCGGGGCATCGTCTGACCCCTTGGCCTCATGGGTCAGGTAGGTGCCTGGGTGGAAAGAGGGGTCAGTGTCACAGGGGGCCCTGCTGGCACCCCACCCCCGTGCAAGCAGGGGGAGGCTGGGCTGCCTGGAGAGCCCCCAGTGGCAGAGCCTGAGGGCAGGCTAGAAAGCAGAGGTGAGAGAAAAGTCCTTTGGGTTTGGCCTGAAATGGAAAAGTCACTGGTTTCCCTGGGACAAACCCTGCTTGGGGACCAAGCCTTGCTTGGGCTACTCATGGCTTTCACAGTCATCTCAAGCCAGAGGGCAAAACTGCCTCCTCTTTGCAGGCAACAGCCCTTGCCTGCACTTCCAGGCATATCTCCTGCCCTCCCCACATCTGTCCCTGTTCCCGCTCAGAAAATTGGAGGGTTTCTCTGCAAAACTGCCATCTGCAAGGAGGCTCCAGGTCCTGGCTGCTTCTGGAGCCGGCACACAGCAGGGCAGAGGCAGCAGCTCTGCTGGGCTCAGAGGGCAGGGATGGATGGGGGGGCTCTTACTCACACATCACCTCTGCTGGGTTTTGCCGATGTCTGGATGTGACCGTCTCCCCGTGTCTTATGCACATACCTGCTGGGTGGATGAAAAGTCCAGGGATGGGGAGATGGAAATGGTGGCAGAGGAAGATGGAGGGCTCAAGGGATAGCAAGGAGGGAAGGGAGAGGGAGGAGGTGGGCTCAGACACAGCCAAGGACAGTAGCATGGGAAGTCCTGGGGTGGAGGGTACCAAGCCATGAAGGAAAGATGGACAAATGGGGTAGAAGCTGCCTCTGCCTGGTGCTGCCCAGCTCCAAGGACTCACTGGGACATCTCCATGCTGGGCTTGGTGCCAGCATGGAATAGGCAGCAGCCCCCAAACCCAGGAGGGCTCCGCTGGCTGCACTGGGTTTCTCTGGATATAGGACAGGTCTGCAGGATGGGCAACTGCCTCCCTTCACCCCTGCCCCACACTGCCCACTCACTTCGAGGATGTAGCCCTGCTCCCAGAGACCCACTGAGGGGGGAGAACATCCTGCACTGCCTGCTTCGATGTGACACAGGGGTCTTGGCTCCATGGCCCCCCAAAGCAGCTCCCCTGCCCCGTACCTTTGTGTCTGATCAGGTAGTGTCCCAACACGATGAGGAGACTGAGCAGGAGGAAGACAATGACGGCAACCACCCCACCAATCACGGCATGGTACGTGCTGGAGGTTGAGGGCACTGGGCTGGCATCTGCCCAGACAGCAAAGAGAAAAAACAGAAGGAGATGCTGCAGACCCTGCCTTGCAGCACAGGCTGCAGCTCAAGCCACAGACGGCTCAGGGCTGCAGGTGGCTGCCTTGGAGGGTCTGATCCTGCTTGGTTCGGTGCCATCTGCTCAATCCTGCTGCAGATGAGAGCTGTTGAGGTGGGAGCAAGAAAAGGGAAGGCAATAGGGGAAGCAAGGAGGGGAAAGCAATGGCCATTGGTGCCAACTCCTGCAGGGAGTGATTTAAAAGGAGCCCCAATGGCTGCACTGGGAGCCTGGCCTGGTTGAGAAGGCAGTTGGTAAGATCTGTGATGGGCAAACACATCCTGTGCCCAGCTGCCTGTTATGTACGCCAGGGAACAGCAGCAACAACAACATGCTCTGTGCAACCTGTGGTACCTCTGCCTTCAGGCTCTAATCATGATCCCACTGCCCCATCCTTCACACTGGGATTTTTTTCCCCAAAAGGGGAGGTTAAGCACAGGGTGAAAAACTAGGCTTGGCTCACTCTTCCCCTGAGTCATGCCAGCAGGAAGGTGACATACAGGCTTCCATGGCCACACCTCAAGGCAGATGGGACCATGAGGCCAGTCCCAAGTCAGCCACATCTTGGAAAGCAGTCTGCACTGGGATCCTGCATTAGCTCTGGTACACAGGGACAAATCGTCCTTCCACACCACTCTTCTTGTGCCCCATCAGATTGAGGAGGACAGAACCACAGAAACAGTCGGAGGAGGCATTTGGACAGGACAGGGTAGGAAAGACAATGGGGAGGTGACAAGACAAGACCTCTCATGTGGACACAAGGCACAGGTTGTAGCTCACAGACAGCTGCTCTCACAATTTGCCGAGAAGAGCTGGAAGGATCATTATGCAGCCCAGATCTGAGGCCTCAGCTTTTTCTGTTGTCTACCACCATCCTCAAGTGCTGAGATAGTGGCTGCCAGAGTCCACACACACACACACCCACCAACAAGCAGCTGCACAAGAACTGGAGCCTGGGTGGGAACCTGTGACATGGCAAGGGTGTCCGTAGCCCAGGGCTGGGCTACCATCCTTCTTGGATCTTCTCCTGCTGGGCTGAGGAGCAGCAGGTCCATAAAGAGAGAGAGAAAAGGAGCTTACGGTACCTTGGATGGGAGCTGGAGTGAAGGATGAAGCGGTGGCCATGGAAGCATGAGAGATGGGCTGGGAAGGGCCTGGCGGAGGGACTGAAGTGGAGTGAACATATGGGGTAGGGAGCTGGGGAAGATCTGGGGAGGACGAGAAAAACACAGGGACATGAATCAACCCTGGAAAGTGCCAGAGCCCATTGGAGGGGACCCTGGCTCACCCCAGCCTGATAGGACCCATTCTTCTCAGCAGCTTTTTTGACCATTGGTCCTGCTCCTCTTCTGCCACCATCCTCTGGGACACACTACTGTGAACATCTACCCCCATCTCCTACCCTGCCAGCACCCCTGGTCACCCCTTCCTCCACAAGGAACCCCACTGGGACCCTCCTGCTTGGGAGTCCTGGGATTGCAGTGGCTAGAAACTGTCACCCACCATGAGATGCCACCTACACTTTCCTAGGAACCATCAGGGTCTGCTCCATCCCTGCTCTCCCATGCTGCCAAGCAAGGTGGCTGCTGCGGTAGGCAGGCTCAGGGGCTTGGCTGGGCAAGACGGCTGCTCCAGTGATGATGCCTGAGACCTGAGTGGCTCTGGGGAAAAAAGATAGGGGATTTGACAAGGGGAACCAAGCTCAAACATGGAGCTCCTCTGCCAGGGGCTGTGACACCAAGTGGATGAGGGACACTGGCATTCTGAGTGCCACATGGTTGTGGATGGTGATGAGCACCCTGGATGCTACTGTGAGCCCATGGATGGGTGTGGAGGGCTCCGGGTGCTGCTCTGTGCTCGGAGCTGACCTCAGGAACCAGGTCGCTGTGCAGACCCTGCACTAAGCAGGACAGGGAACACACAAGTGGTGACAAAGGAACAACTACACAGGGTTGGGCATTAGGGGCTCATCCTGGGCAGAGGAGACTGACTCAGGGCAACAGGGTGTCTGAGGTGCCATTGATGCCATGCACCCACTCTACCTACAGCCAGCCACATTGGAGGAGAAGAATGCTGAGAGTGCCCAGAATAGGAGGGGAGGGAAAGGGGACAAGAATAGGAAGAGCTGGAACATGTAGGAGTGCTGAAAGACAAATTTGAAGGCTGATAGAGAGGTGACAAGAGATGTAGCAGAAGAGGATAACCCCAAATCCAAGGCCAAAACCACAGGGAAACAGGCTCCTACCACCATGGGAAAGCTGTCGGGAAAGGGTCTGGGTGCTGAGCACAGGAGTCAGGGCAGCGCCACCACCAGGCAGGTATGGGCTGGAGACACGCTCACAGCCCTGCACAGCACACGACTCTGCTCCATGAGACACACATTGCACTTGGACACGGCAGGGCACAAGAACAGCAAACACGGCAGCAGCACACAGATAGGCAGGGGTAAGCGATAGCACCATGTGGGAGGAGGAGGGTGCTACCCCTTCTCACACAGGGACAGGTGTTGCGTGGCAATACACTCTGGGGACCCACAACACAAAGCAAGCCTGCAGTTCTCATGGCTCAGCACAAGTCAGGGGCCTGTTGCAAGCCGGTACTGAGGGAAGAAAAGAACAGTTTTCCACAGGGCCCTATCTCCAGAAGCTTGGGACAGGGCTGCCAGGGCATTTCATGGGGTCAGCACCATCTGGAAACGCTCCTTGCCTTGTGGTGGTGACACACGGAGGCCTCCTGCCGGTGAGAGGTTCAGAAGCACTGACCTTTCCCCCTGTTCCAAACTCCAGAATAATCCTGCTTGCAGCCCCTGCACCCTCTCTAATTCCCCATAAGAGGCAGCCTGAATTAGGCTACGTCCCTGCCCCAACCCCCCAAGACCACTCTCGGCCCTTCTGAGCCCCAGGCAGCACTGCTGTAGTGCCAGGAAGGATGGGGACTGGATGTGGCTGGAGGAGCTGGGGACACAGCGCTCCAACAGCAAGTGCACTGGGACCCAGTTGCACCCGCCCACCCTGTGCCACAAAGCCCTCCTCCCACTGCAGCCCTCCCTCAATCCCTGTGCCCCATCATGGGAAGATGCAGCTAGGATAGGGGTGGCTGTGCCCACCAGCAGCGGCCCAGACCAGCTGGGTGATGCCAGGCATCCCACTGCCCTGCTTACCGCTAACATCAAGGTTGTACTTGGCCACGACGCTGCCCATGGAGCTGGTGGCCGTGCAGACGTAGGTGCCGCTGTCGCTCTTGTTGAGGAAAGGGAAGATAAGGATGCTGTCGGAGCTCAGCTGCAGTGGCGAGTCACTGCCCTCCTTCTGCCACAGGAACTCCTGAGGGCTGCAGAGCAGGATAGGGGTGAGGCAGCGCCAGCCCCCCCAGCACGCCAAGCTGGGGCACAGCAGAGTCCCTGGCCAGGCAGTAGAGGGGGTAGTGAAAGTGTGGGAGTATTTAAGTAGGACATAAATACCCAGCTTAGAAATGAGCTGGGATGGATCTGCTGCTCCAGGGAGAGGACAGGAGCTTTGCCTGTTCTCTGTAGGGTGCCCAGCCCTACCTGGCATTGATGCAAGGCAAGTGCTCAGCCCTGAGCCCACACAGTGCTGCCTGCAATGCCCTGGCCAAGCTCTGGGGAGGCCTAAGTGATGGTTTTGGGAACCTGAAGGACAATTTGGCCAGAGCCTGGCAGGACTCAGCAGCAGGAAGGCGAGGAGGGGCCTTACATGGGGTTGCCCTGCCCGTCACATTGCAGCTGGAGCTTCTCGCCTTCCCGTGGGTACTGGGGATGCGGCTCGATCTTCGCTGTTGGCTTGTCTGGAAAAGGAGATGCACAGTTGGGTGACCACCTGTCCCTGCCCTAAACTGTGCAGGGGGGCTGCTGGCACCCCAAAACCCTGCCCTGCCTCAGTGATATGTTGTACAGGAGTGAAGAGGGAGTGCCCCTGTGAGGTGGGGTGCATCGCAGCAGGGGTTGGCACTGTAAGAGCGCACAGTGCAGCTTCCACATCCCTTATCCTGCTGTCACAGGGGACATGCAAGACAGGGGGCACATGAGAGATGGAACAGGCAGGTAGCAGAGGATGGCACAGACAAGTCTCAGGAAGATGGGGAAAGGCAGGACACAACCAAGGGCATGCATGGACAGAGGAAGTGTCACTGTGCTGCCCCTCTGTGTGACAGGACCACTGTGTACATGGATTGCTGAGCCTCTATGCATATCTGTGATGGCTGTGTCAATGTAGGGCTGTGTGTGATGTCTGCTGAACTGTGGTGATGCTGAGGCCTCCTCTGTCTCTCCCACCCTTTACAGCCCTGTCCCCTTGCCCTGTCCCATCATTACAACACAGCACGTACAGTGAACCTGCAGCTTCTGCGTGGTGGACCTCTCGGAGTTCTGCAGGGACTCATGATCCACAGTGCAGGTCACCTCAGCTTCGTTGTCCTCCTTAGTGACACGGAACTCCACTCGACTGCTCACAGTGAAGGTCTTTCCATTGGGGTCCTCCACCACTTCAGTGCCCTCATCTGCAGGGACAGGGGACTGTTACAGCTGATGGACCCCAGCAGAGGCATGAGGGTGACATGTGTTGAGCAGGGGACACCCTGTCCATGTCCCTTTGTTGGCAGGAGCATAGGATGCCAGTGCAGTCCAGCACCAGGCATATCTGCAGCAACACTTGCTGCCTCACCTGCCTCCATGGTGTTCCCCAGCCACCCCAGTGCCTCAGGGCAGAGCCCTACTACTTTGGCCCTTACCCTTCAGCTCCTTATTGCCCTTCTTCCACCGGAGCTGGGCAGCTGGCTTGCTGCCAGAGGATCGGCAGGTCAGCCGGGCTATCTTCTCCTCATCAATAGGCTGCTCATGGCCAAAGATTTGGGGTTTTTGGGGGATTCCTGGTAGAGAGGTAGACAAGAAATACAACAGCCCATTAGCTGTGTGTGTGCTGCCACCCAGAGATGAACATTCATGCAGAAACACGTAAATAAACATGGCAAGGATGAGTTAACAGGAATGAATAGAGGAGTAGCAGAGATGAATGGCTGTAGGGAGAACATCTTGCAGGCAGGACACCAGGAGCAGATGTGGGGGTTGCCATGGTGGCTTACCCAGCACAGTGACCAGGGCCTTTGCAGTCCTCACAGGCATGGTGAAGATAGAGCAGGTATATTCCCCCTCATCTGACAGTACCACATCACTGATGCTGATGGTCAGCTCGTTGGGTGTGGACCTCTCCAGCTGGATCCTGTTATCTCGCAGTGCTGGGGTAAAAGGGACAACAGTAGGAATGACAGGGTCAGTACCAGCCCACCCCTCTGCTAGTTCATATTTGGCTGGTGGCATCACTGTAGGTGGGGAGCAGAAGGGAACATCACCCTCTGAGGCACCACCAGCCACGGTTCATCTCTCTGCCCCACCATTGCTCCAGCCCTGAAGCCAGCTCCTCTCCCATCCCCAGCTCCTGTGCATGTACCTCGTTTCTCCCCAAAGTAGAGTGTCTGCTGGGCAGGGTTGGACCACTGCAGTGAGGAGTCATCGGGATCCTCCACCTGGCACTTGAGCACCACTGTACCACCGGCCACCACAGTCTCATCTGATGTCGTGGGCTGGCTCTCTGGACACAGACAGGAGAGGTTAGTGCCAGTGTACATGTGTGTATATTTGGGAACATCCATCCACCCCCTTGAGCATGGACATGTGTGTACATACACGTGCTTGTGGGTGCATGTCCCTCTCCAGGGATTAGGGGTTTCCTATTGCACAGGCAGCGTGCTTGGAGTGGACTCATGGCCTATGTCAGCCCAGATCTCCCTCTGCGATCCCATTCTCCAGCAGGGAACAGTCCCACTATAGCTGCAGAAGCAAGGACCAGCAGGCAGGATCTATCCTGCACCACACGCTGAGACAGCAGCTCCTGGACACTGCTGTTCCCAGGTGGTGGCTCCATGCCAGCCTGCACAGAGACATCAGCGTCAGGCCTGGCTCTGAGCACAGCCCCTGGGCCTACTGAAAGCTACAAGCAAGGTGCCACCAGGCATGAGCAGATCCAGATAGGATGAGTATGCCAGGAGGCAGCAGGAGCCTGGCATTGGCATGGGCATCAGCTGAAGGCACCTGGGGAGGCAGCAGCTCTGCTCCATCACCCTAGCAGTGCCACCAAGCCAGGGTTTGCACCCACGGTGCCTCCGTGCCAAGCACACCTCGCAATGGGTGCTCCACCTGTGGTGCACCGGATGTGGCCTGTGGGGGGCAGTCAGTGGCCTTGCTCTCTATGTCGATCTTTTCGGGAGACTTGCTCGCGCTGCTCCTGGTTTCTTCCCAGACTGTACTTCCTCAGCTAAGCCACTGTCCCTAGTTTCCTTCAGGTTCCTCAGAGGGCTCCAGACTCAAGCAGCCCAAGGGCAAAGAAGAGCAGCAACAGGATCAGATAACCCCCTGCCTGCCCCAAGGACAGCTATTTCGGGAAAGCTGACGTGCCGGGGATATGAGCTGCAGGGAGAAGGGGGACACTGGGTCCCCCAGCCGGAGGCCACACACCCTCCTCAGCCGGCAGGGACCACAAGGCCCAGGGACAAGGGGGAGGAACACGGATCCTGCTGCTGTTTCTGCTTTGCTCATGTGCTGAACACAGGTCTTCACAAAGTGTTGTTTTCTATCTCGACCCAAGTTACCCACATTTAGGCAGGGACTTGGCCTCAGGATCCCCAAGCCATGGGTGATCCTGCCTGTGTGCAGGCCCATGCAGCCGACAGCACAGTCCTGATGTCACAGGCCTGTTTTCTTGTGGTGATCAAGCATTTCTCACACATCAGCTGGCTGGAGCACCCAAGCCTTGCTCCACAGCCTGCTCATCACAACAGACTCTTCACTGACATGACTTCAGCTCACTCAAGGCCCCAGCACGGTGGGAGTTCTGCCGAGGGTCACCAGGACCACCAATGCTGGGCACAGCACAAGGTGAGCAGGAGCCTCCCCTCAACTGCAAGGGACACATCTCTGCCATGTCACATTCTGGGGCTTGGCCATAGCTCTGGGGAGATCCATCAGCTTATTTTAATTTGGTTAACAATACCTTTATGCAACTACTACTGTAATTACAGGATTAGGCTGTCACAACCAGCTGTTGTTCAAACTTAAAACGCTCCAACTCAGATGCAGTTGAAGACAGGGTTTAAAACTCACCAGAACAAACCCAATCCCTTAATTAACACAATTACCATCACAAGCCACAGTGATCTCAGTAAGGTATTGGTGTGCAGACAGATGGAACAGAGCAAGGGGTGTTTCTCCCAGGGCAGAGGACAGGTGATGCCACTTACATCCTCACACCAGGTGAGGCACCAGGCACCACACAGACCCACTAAAGCTCTGGCCTGGCCTCCTCCCTCCCCAGCTCACAGCCAGGTCAGGTCTCCAACCCCCTGCAAGGAATGCAAAGCCACATCCAGCTCTCACCCCCAGGCACACGCAGCCCCCTCAAGCAAAGTCCCTCCAGCCCCCCAGGCCACCACATGACCCAGATGCTCACTCGCCTTCACATGCTTGGAGAAACAGATGGGCATGGCTGGACTGCTGCACCAGTGCGACTTGATTTAATTAAAAACTGCTGTGGCTGTAACCTGCTGGCCCTTGACAGAATAGGGGCAGAGCTGCTGTGGGAGCTGCCATGGGGCCAGGAGAGGAGGCAGCAGCAGGATCCCAGGAGCAGCAATTCCCATCATGGGAGGCTTCAGACCCTCCCACTCCTGCTATGGGGAGCAAGGCACAACCTCGGAGTCCCCACCCATCTGCAGCATCACCACTGCCCTCACAGGGAAGACCTCTGCCAGCAGGTCAGGTGGGGGCACAAGGGGAAAAGCTGCCATGGCCAAGGACCATGGCACATTGGTGCCCCATGCACCTCATTCTCCCAAATTCAGCAGCTTTATTTGCAGCACAGCCCAGCGAATCCTCCTGGTCAGATCCTGGGGATTGCAAAAAAAGATGAAGGACAGCTTGGGCCACCCTGCTCCCACCACAACAGTCCTTTAGCAGCATCACGATGCGTGCTAGTTTGAGAAAGCAGGCACTATCACACAGGGGTCCTGGCCCTGTCTGGGGACCCCTTAGCAGCATCCCAGGGGCTTGGAGGCACAGGGAGGAAACAGAGCAAGGATGCTCTGGAAAGCTGGCTACAGTGAAAGCTTTTGGGTCTTCCTGGTATGCCAGATAAAACAGCTCCTGCAAGCCCAGGGACAGGTGCTGGACACTCAGGGAAGCATCCGTCCTCATTATGCCAGCAAATCCTGCCAGCACAGAGCCACTGCCACCTGACAGCCTGGGCTGGCACAGTCCCCTCACCCTCCCTCCAGACGCTGTGCAATGGACAAAGCAGCCTCTGGGGCTGCCACGGGCTGAGGGGCTGTGCAGCCCAAGCCCCGGCACAATGGCAGGGCCTGGCACAAGGCCACACTGGAGAACGATGTCTGCTCCCACACCTGGGCAAAGAAGGAAAGTGCACACAGCTCTGGGGGTGCCGGCATTGCTCTGCACACAGCATTTGAATCCAACCTTCCCTGCACCGTACTGAGCCTGGTGAAGCATCAACACCTCCCAGAGGCCACCCAAGCCTCACTGGCCACTCCAGGCACCTCTGATCATCCTGTATTAGGGCAAAAAGTTATGCTGCAGAGGGCAAGCCAGTAGTGAGGTCTCCTGGCAGGCAGGACCCAGCTCTCCCTCCACAGGAGCCTCCTGGAGGAGGCCAGACCCACTGCAGGCTGCGACACCAAAGGCTCAGTTACCTCCTCAGACCCAGGGACAGGCAGAGCAACCTCTGACACCGCACAAAACACCACAAGAAAGACTGTGACAGGGCCTTGTTTTTGGCCAAGAGCTCCTGCCTGTATTTGCTTTGGATTCCAGTAGGCACAAAGAAATTAGAGAAGCACTGCACTCTAGAAAAATCAGTATTTCATAAATTAACCTTGTGCACTTTTGCAGCAGGGCTGCATTCGTACTTACAAGGGGAGTAACAATGCACCCATCTACCTCAACCCCCTGAGTCCAGCAGCAGGACCTGTTGGCACACATGGCCTCTTCCAGCACAGACTCTGTCCCCAAAGGTCTGCAGCTCTGCTGCTTCCAGTCCAGGGATGCTCCAATCATGCACATGAATCCTTTGCAGCACCACATCTCTGGGGACTGTTGAGACAAAACACCACGGTATGCCTTCTGCCTTCCAGGAGCTTTCCACTGGAGCATGCTCAGGGAAGCAGCAAGCAATGCCTGGTAGAACTGCAGTCCAGAAGCCTTCAGGGTGCACCTGGAGGGCACCCTGCTGCCCACACGGATCTTAGCAGGGCAGAGCATTTGCCAAGGCCAGCCAAAAGCTGGAGGCACTTCCAACGGCAGCCGTGGTAGAGTCAGGCAGGAGCTGGAGCTGCCAGCAGCATCTCTCAGCCTCTGCCTGACGTATCCACCCCATGCCCATCTAAGCCTGCCTCCAGGTTGTGAAAAGATTTCTGTTACAGCAAAAGCATTCCCAGAGGAAAACATCCACCACTCAAATCCCTCCAGTCTGCAGCCCAAAAAATAACACTTGTCATTTTCCTCATTTTTTCCTATTTAGTCTCATTTCTTCATCATAAAGATCCAATTTATCTCTGTTGACACAGAGATTTTCTAAGGCAAGTTATCTCCTCTCTGAAGACTGTATTTTAATAATTCATTCAGCAGCCATGAACTCCAAAGCTCCATTTCCAGCCGCAGGCATCCTCCCCGTATGGTGACTAGAGCTGCCTGGCCAAGGTGGCAGTTTTGAATCTGGTGGATTGCAAACGCGGCCAAGCGGGCTCAGACATCTGCTGTGCAAGCTTGCTTACAAGCTGATTAAAGTGGCATGTGAATCCACAGTCTGGGATACCCAGAGCCCAACTTCCAGGCTCCTCACCAGCAGCTGATTTGCTCCAGATGTTGTTAGAGGGAGAAACCTGCTCTTGTTTCAGTGCATCTGCTCTATGCCACCCCACATTCCTCTTCCCTGTATGCCTGCCCAGGTAAGCCAGCCTCACCAGCACACTCCAGCCAGAGAATACATCCTTCTGCGAGCCACAGGGCAAAGGGCCCTCCTACAACACTTCCAGGGCCAGCTCCTTTTCCAGTCCTACGGCATTTAAGCAGTCCCATGGCTGCACAGCTTTACACCAAGGCCTGTCATGACAAGTCAGCTAGGAAGATGGGATGGCTCTGCGCCATACAAGCAAGAGCCAAGCAGAGCAGGACACGGGCAGCAGGAGGTGAAGGGAGCAGATGGAGGGCCAGGCTGCAGCAGGCTCAGATAAAAAAGGGGTGGTGGGAGGGATGCAGAAAGCCAGGCTGATCTAGGGAAAAACTAGAAGCAGAGACATGCCTGTGCACCGTCACCCAGTTGCTGTCCCGGCAAGTAGAGGTGGCCACTCTCAGGCTGGATAGACTATTCTGCCCACCACAGCAAGGCCACAGGGGCTGTGGCATCAAGGCATTTTGGGAAGCCTTCCTCACTCCTACAGGGACAAATCCATCCAGGACCTCCATTTGCACCCTCTGATGCCAAAACCTCTCTGGTCCCTCTGCCAGCTCCCACCCTTGTGCCATACCTGCAGCCCTTAGCAGCCAGTTTCTGATCCAACCTTCCCACAAAGCAAGGGATTTAGTGTCAGTGCAAAGGACTGTCACATTAACACAAATGCTCACTAGAAGCAGAAAACACAACCCCTAAGAGTCTGCTTTGAACACTAGCTCTCTTCAACAGGGATGCTGTGACATGCCACTCTTTAACAGTTGACTCTGAAACAGACAGCCCTGTGCTTTGGCAGCTTGTGATGTGGGGTGTAAGGTGATAAGGGGGACCTCCTGTCCAAGTTCCCAATGTAACAGGACCTCAGTCCTTGCAAGCAAAGCAGTCAGCTCAGTGCTGGGGCATCATGCCTTCAAGTCCAGTCCCCATGAAAAAGTCTGACTCCTCACCCTAAACACCAAGTGATTTCTCTGAAAGCAGACATGTACATGAGCATTCTCTGGGAAAGGGCAAAGCAAAAGGACCCATCTTCTCATCACAGCCTGCTCTGAACCCTGAGCCTTTGCTGGGTTTCTCCCAAGACTACACTAGAGACTTTGGTCACAGCCTCCAGAACCCCACTGATGCTCCACAGCAGCCCCAAGCCCTCTGCAGGCAAGGGCTGCAATATCCTGGTCCAAGGGGCACTGACACTCAGCCCCTGAGCATCACTGGCCAATTGCAGAGCTGCATCATAATCCCAGAGTGTTGGAATGTGGTCACCTCCCTGATGGGCCCTGCCTGAGGTAGAGTGGAAGCTGACAGCTGCCTGTGACACCTGACCAGGGTTCAGCGACTGAAACATGGCCAGCAATTAGCATTCAATCAGCAGCCAAGAGCAGCAGTTGGAAAGGGAGGCTGGTTGCAAGTACTGCCAAGCTCACCAATCAGAGTGTCCTCCTCCTTCAGCTCTGGCTCTGCCGACAGAGCCACTCCTGTGCACCTTCAAGCACATCCTCACCTTCCTCTGCCATGCACACCAGAGCTAAGCTGGGAAACAGTCTCTCCTCCAGGACCAGCAGGACTCCACTTTCAGCCCTAACTCTGAAACAGACAGCCCTGTGCTTTGGCAGCTTGTGATGTGGGGTGTAAGGTGATAAGGGGGACCTCCTGTCCAAGTTCCCAATGTAACAGGACCTCAGTCCTTGCAAGCAAAGCAGTCAGCTCAGTGCTGGGGCATCATGCCTTCAAGTCCAGTCCCCATGAAAAAGTCTGACTCCTCACCCTAAACACCAAGTGATTTCTCTGAAAGCAGACATGTACATGAGCATTCTCTGGGAAAGGGCAAAGCAAAAGGACCCATCTTCTCATCACAGCCTGCTCTGAACCCTGAGCCTTTGCTGGGTTTCTCCCAAGACTACACTAGAGACTTTGGTCACAGCCTCCAGAACCCCACTGATGCTCCACAGCAGCCCCAAGCCCTCTGCAGGCAAGGGCTGCAATATCCTGGTCCAAGGGGCACTGACACTCAGCCCCTGAGCATCACTGGCCAATTGCAGAGCTGCATCATAATCCCAGAGTGTTGGAATGTGGTCACCTCCCTGATGGGCCCTGCCTGAGGTAGAGTGGAAGCTGACAGCTGCCTGTGACACCTGACCAGGGTTCAGCGACTGAAACATGGCCAGCAATTAGCATTCAATCAGCAGCCAAGAGCAGCAGTTGGAAAGGGAGGCTGGTTGCAAGTACTGCCAAGCTCACCAATCAGAGTGTCCTCCTCCTTCAGCTCTGGCTCTGCCGACAGAGCCACTCCTGTGCACCTTCAAGCACATCCTCACCTTCCTCTGCCATGCACACCAGAGCTAAGCTGGGAAACAGTCTCTCCTCCAGGACCAGCAGGACTCCACTTTCAGCCCTACCAACACACAGCCTGATCCCCCCAGACATTGACTGCTCTTCCAGTTGCCGAGGCCCGACAAGCCCCCCAGGAGAGCTGGGCTGGGAGCTGGCTGCTCAGGGGACAAGGCAGCTGAGGAAAAGCTGCAACAG